TGCCTTTGCAACTCTCCAATAATAGCAGCGTTGCGCTTCGCCCTAGTAACAGCTTGCAGTGGTTGCGAAGGCGCTTGTTGCCCTTGCCTAGGTTGCGTTTGCTGCGCACTATCTTGAGGTGGCATTGCTCGCGTGTCCTTGTTTGCATTAGCGGCACACTCGGTTTTCTGCCAATAAGGACATCGAATTTCTAACGGAATAAGATATTTCAAATTTCGATTCAAAACTTTCTTACTGCCATCCCGTGATAATACTAATACCCTGGCTGCTCGCACTGAACCATCTGTTCCTGTCAGCAGCTCTAACACTCGGCAAAGTTTCCAAAAGGATCTTTTCGTTTGGTCATTCCTAAGGATACAAATATCATCAATTTTTATGTCAGGGTTGGTTTTACTATTGTTTCTTGGCCTGTAAGTTTCCAACAACCCCAGTAGGTACTCTTTCCTCCATCGATCTACAAAATTAGAAAGTAATTTTCGATTATACTTAGCTCGTTTCGACAAACTCTCATACGTATTAATTACTTCAAAATGTGCTTCATTTGGGTATTGACTCAAGTTACGACCGTTTATTAATTGGGATGGGGTTAGTGGATATGATATCCCGTCCGTATCATCAAAAACGTAGGTTAGGGGTCGTGAATTTATTACTCTTTCAATTTCCACGACAATTGTTTCCAATTCCCCATAACTTAGTGTCGCTCGACCCACGACTTTCGTCAGACAACGTTTCGTGCTTCTTATTAGTCGCTCCCAAAACCCCCCGTAAAATGGTGCGAGTTCTACGATAAACTTCCATTTTACACCTCTTATCGTAAAATATTCAGTTAGTTTGGGAGAACGCAGTAGTTTAGTGATCTCCTTGGAGGCCGACTTAAAGGTTTTGGCATTGTCGGAAATCAACAATGAGGGTGTCCCTCTACGAGCACTAAAGCGTCGATAAGCACAAATAAAATCTTCAACGCTTAATGATTCGACAACTTCAAGGTGAACTGCTCTCGTAGCAGCACACGTAAACAAGCACAGATAGCATTTAATTTGTTCGTCTTTATTCCATCTACCTGTTACCATTAATGGTCCCGCAAAGTCTATGCCTACATTTGTAAAGGGCGGACCACTATCAATGCGGAACTCTGGTAATTCAGGGCTGTACACGGTCTTGAAGGGTAAACCCTCAAGTCTCTTACACAAAATGCAACGACGTACGAGTTTTCTTACTTGTTCCCTCCCCCGGAGAACCCAATAACGCTGTCTCATTAAGTTTAACGTGTCCTTAACACCGTTGTGGAACACTTTATCATGGCAATCCTTAATTATTAGCTCCGACAACTTACTTTTAGCAGGCAAAAATACAGGTCGTTTGCTACTTTCAGCAATTGTAGACTTTCCTACACGTGTTCTACATCGAAGAATCATGTCCTTATCCAAAAATAGATTAAACTGGTTTATGTACAGCGGTGTTTTCGTACCCTTTTTGCCTGATTCCGAGCTTAACAAATATTTTATTTCAGATGAAAATGACTCGTGCTGAACTGACCGTATTAATACTGTTTCTGCCCTTTGAATTTCCGGGACACTTAAACCTTCGCTACGATTTATTTCAGTACCTTGTACCGCACTTTTCAAGTTGGAGATAAATCTTATAACCCATCCAAAACTTCGTACCAGTTTACCCTTGTCGTTAAAACGCGTTATATCAATAAGTTCTTCGAATTTCCCCTTTGAAGTGAATATTGCGTGGGTAATGATAGGCCCCTGTTTAACCCTTTCCTGCAATGCTTCTTCTACGACCAACTCACTGCCATTAGGGGACTTGGGCCATTCCTGTGGTTCTAACTTAAGAAATTGTGGACCCTCCCACCAGAACGAATTGGCAGCGAGACCCCCATGTTTTCCTCTGGAAGGCAGATCTGCCGGATTATCTACCCCAGGACAATGGAACCATTTTTCTTGCTTAGAAGTACTCAAAATTTTCGAAACTCTGTTCCTAACATATTGTGTCCAAGGTTTCACATTGCGAATCCAACAAAGAGTAGAATATGAGTCAGTCCAATAAAATGTGTCAATGACTTTATCCTGGAGCTCGTCCTGCAAAACAATTTTAACTGTTTGCATAAGTTTGGCAAGTAAACATGCACCTAAAAGCTCTAGTCTTGGAATGCTTTGTTTGTTAATTGGACACACTTTTGATTTGGAAGCAATTATGTTAACTTGGACCTCTCCAGATTCGTAAACACATCGTAAATACACCACAGCCCCATAAGCTTTCTCGCTAGCGTCTGAGAATCCATGTAATTCTACACTTCTTACCTCTTTTCCCTTCTGAAACAAGTACCTGTGTATAGAAATACCGTTAAGAAGCTCGATTTCGGATATAAGTGATTCAAACTTGAGTTTATGTTGACCTTGTAATAGTTCGTCCCAGGCCACCTTTTCAGTACAAAGTTCTTGGAAAAGTATCTTCAAATTTATGGTGTAAACATTTAACAAACCAAAAGGGTCAAATATTTTCGCTACCAATTTCAACACAGAACGTTTTGTTGGCACCAGTGATTTAGCAAACTCAACGATATCTGATAACTGAAAACACAGTCTATCTAACTTGCTGTCCCAGTTAACACCTAAAACCTTCTTACCCGCATTATCAAAACTATTTGTTGCGGCCCCTAATGAATACTCAGAAAATGTTTGGTCATCTTCACCGGTGACCACGCCCTGCTCCACCGCAGGTGTCTCACCTGAGTCCTCTGACTTTCGAATTTCGTCTAACACATTCTTATCGTTAGAGTCCCATTTACGCAAATTAAAACCTCCCTTTAACATAATAGATTTAGCCTTTTCGTATATTTCAAGGGCTTCGTGTGGTTGTTGAGCTCCACAAGATAAATCGTCAGCATACAACATGTTGAGAATCTCGACCACCTTAGGACTCTCCGATTTAAATTGCAAAACATGATGTTTAATGACTTGGCCTAGGATTGATGGCGAGCAATTAAGACCAAAACAAAGCCGTCGATATCGAAAACAACGTATTGTTGGGTTATTTCGAGTCACATCATCATACCATAAGAATCGTAGTGCTTCACGATCCTCCTCATTTATTTCGATTTGGAGGAATGCCTTCTCTATGTCCGCTGTCAAAACTATTGGCTTCGTGCGAAATCGTATTAAGGTGTTAAAAAGATGCGGCATAGAATTCTCCCCTGTTTCAAGACAATCATTTAGAGACAAATTTTCTTGTGAATTTTTCGCGGAACCGTCAAAAACTATACGCAGTTTAGTTGTCTCTCTATCATTTCTTATAACACCAAAGTGACAAAGAAAATGCGACCCTTGTTTATCAATATTTTCTTGAGAAACCTCTTCAATAATACCATCAGAAAGTTGTTGCTGAAAAATTTCATCATATTGTTTCAAAAGATCGGGCTTAGTTTTAAGTTTACTGAACAATGATTCAAGCCGTTTCTTACTCATATCATAATTTGAAGGTAGGCTACGATACAAATCATCTTTAAATAGAAGTCTTACCATGTAGCGACCATCCTTGAAGTTGATATCCACCCCTCCATCGTCGGTCTTCTTGTCTTCAGGATTCTCGGTTTCATAAAGACCCGCGGATTCGTGCTTCCAAAATTTCGTCAGCGATTCGACGATTTCTCTGCTATCATCTGTAATTTCGTCTCTCGAAGGTAAAACATCAACAATTAAATTCATCACATTATTTAAAGAGCTTTTATCACCTTCATTACAAACAACAGGTCCACAAAGCAACCAACCGAGTTTGCTACTTATTGCAACAAGGCCATTGCCGCCCTTTCTTACTTCGCCTTGCACTATGCGATAATAATAATCTACACCAATGACTAATTCTATGCGCTTTTCGCAAGTCGCATAACTATCGGCGAGTTGCAAACCTTGCAAATGTGGATAGCAACTTACATCTATTGGTGTACTTAATGGCAAACAAAGATGGGGGGAACTTAATACGGTTAACGTCAATATTTCATCTCCTACTTCTAGATTTACCGTTACCCTATCACAACTTTTCTTCTCATATTTATTTGAACCGAAAGTGTTCAAGTATACGGTCTCTGTTTTCTCGACCTTCAACCCCAGCTTCTTCACCGTTTCTTCTGAAATGTAGCTTCTCTGACTGCCTGAGTCAAACAGGATGTTCACCAGCTGTTTCTCGCTCCTATCCGCACCAAAGCCATACGTCTGTGCTGTCTGTAGAAGAACATTTTTTCTCTCATCTGACGCGGAATTGACCGTCGTTTGCAGTGCAGGTACCCCTCGCTTCTCCTCCATAACTAGGTCTTCGTGCAATGCTGAATTGTGTTTACTTTTACAGTGAAAGCACTTCGGTGGACTTCTGCATGTTTTCGCTCGATGACCAATCCTCAAACAATTGAAACAACGATTTCCTTCAATCAATTTTGATTTTCTTTCTTCGATGCTTGTAACTACCTTACATTTTTCTGCATAGTGTTCCCCTTGACAAAAATAACACTGAAGCTTTCGTTCCCTTTCTCCATCTTTGATAACTGCGAAGGCTCTCGTTGTTCCTCGATATTCTGTAAGGCTTGTTCTCTCAGACTTTCGAGTGGTCTTTGTGTCAAGTTTTCGGCTTATCTCCCTTGCCTCAATTTCTTTCCTTATGATGTCCAAAATCTCGTCTATTCGCCAAATTTGCTCTGATGTCTTTCGAGCCACTTGCAAGGTAATTTCTGCCGGCATTCTTGACATTATCACGGGCACTAACAAACTGCCATATCGTTCCGATGAAATGCCTAACGTCTCCAGTCCGCGGACGTGCACATTGATATTGTCGTATATCGCTCGTATCTGTGACACAGTTTCATTTGGACAACTTTGCAAATTTAACAGCGCCTGCATGTGAGCGCTAATTATTTGCTGTGGATTTCCAAATCTTGTCTGCAAAATGTTTATAGCATGCTCATAGTTCTCTTCGGTAATTGCCAGCCCCTCCAAGGCTTTAAATGCAGTTCCTTCAAGTGATCGCATTAGATAGTTCATTTTGTGAACCGCCGATATCTGTTCATTTTCATGCACAGCACACTGAAAGCTTTGCCAAAAGGCTTGATACTTCGTCACATCGCCAGAAAAATTAGGCAAATTAATTTTAGGCAGCTTTACACCAATATTTTCCGAACGTGAGGAGCTACCACTCCTATTCAGCTGTCAATTTGCTGGTGCGAAGGGCGTTGCATCGGTCGTCAATTCATTTCGAATAGCGGGTGTCGGTGTAGAAACTCCAGTCGGTTCAGCAAGTCCGTGTAAAGCTCCAACAACAGTACCCCTTTTGCAAGCCCCAATTCTCGATATAATTTCCTCGATCTTCACATCTATCTCGGCTGATTCTTCGATTTCTTTCTCTATTTCGTCAATATGACATTTTGCCAAAATTTCATCGTTCAAGTTACACAACAGCCTCCTTTTCTGCTGAAGAACAGACAAAATCGAATCCAGCTTCGCTAGGATTTCCGTGGTAAGGGCATCACCATGATCTCGTATTATCCAAGTCGCTTCTCGCTCGAACCTCGTAATTACTGCCCTGTTTCCACCTCGGGTTCTCTTCAGTCTCTCCATATTTCCGTTCTCGATTCTTCCTGCTTCCGCGCGACGTTCAACTTCGTCTTCCTGCGTGGAGATTTCGTTTCGTTCCAACTCGCTTAATCTCACAATTCAGCTCGAAATATTTTCCTTATACCCCAGCCCCACGTTGGGCGCCAATTGTTGTAAAGTCTAGGTCGGAGCATAGAGAAATTCCATTTGTGAGATTATGTATGTGATTTTCTTAACAAAATTGTGCTTACTACATACTCAGCCACAATAGCCAACGGTTACCAACTATCTGTGGACGGTTGCAAACTATCCGTGGACGGTTACAAACTATCCGTGGACGGTTGCAAACTATCCTTGGACGGTTACAAACTATCCGTGGACGGTTGCAAACTTATCCGTGGACGGTTATCAACTATCGGTGGACTGTTGCAAACTATCCGTGGATGGTTCAGAACTATCCGTGGACGGTTACCAACTATCCGTGGACGGTTACAAACTATCCTTGGACGGTTACCACTTATCCGTGGAAGGTTGCCAACTATCCGTGGACGGTTGCAAACTATCCGTGGACGGTTGCAAACTATCTGTGGACGGTGGCAAACTTTACGTGGACGGTTACAAACTATCCGTGGACGGTTACCAACTATCCGTGGAAGGTTCAGAACTATCCGTGGACGGTTACCAACTATCCGTGGACGGTTGCAAACTATCCGTGGATGGTTACAAACTATCCATGGACGGTTGCAAACTATCCCTGGACGGTTCAGAACTATCCGTGGATGGTTGGAAACTATCCGTGGAAGGTTAAAAACTATCCGTGGACGGTTGCAACCTATCTGTGGACGGTTACCAACTATCCGTGGATGGTTCAGAACAATCCGTGGACGGTTACCAACTATTCGTGGACGGTTGCAAACTATCCGTGGATGGTTCAGAACTAACCGTGGACGGTTACCAACTATCCGTGGACGGTTGCAAACTATCCGTGGACGGTT